TAATAATTTTCAAAACCAATCTGTAGTACGTTCCTGGTTTTGGCGCGACACCACCGCGTCGCGCAGCTACCCTAATTTAATATCCTGGCTGATTAAAATGATAAATTTAATACTTAATTCGACATGAGATCATATCGGCGGATCTACATCATCAGGAATCCATCAGTTATAATTCTGGTCAAATTTGCAGATCATTTAGCCAGATCTAGAACAACCCAATTTTAAATCTGGTAAATTATCTGCAATTTGACCAGAATTAGATTGCTTCAACAAAGATTGACACGTATGATGAATCCAAACAGCCCCTAGAACTAATATTTAGATATTTGATTAAATAATTGAACTATTGTGCATCATTCCATAATGCGCTTTAATTAAATTCCCAACAAGATTGTTAGCAACCCGCGTTAAAAAGACATCCAAAATATTATTCACAATTTGCGCATAATTTTGTTCGTCATTTTGCTCGCAATAACCAGTTACCCACCACATCATTTCTACCGTATAACGAAAATAAACAACCACCGGAATTGATATTCTTGTGGCTCAGGTCATTTGTAGAGTTCCAATCCGGATAAATCCGTCATCCGTTTATCCGTGTCTGATTATCTGAATAATTCAAATCGCTCAGATATCAGAATAATCCGACGGTATTTGGATAATTATCCGATATCCAATGGATAAATGGATAACTAATATGCAATGGTGAAATATTATATTATCATTTATATAATACATCGTATTGAAAATTTTTAGTTGGATTGATCACTACTGTAGTCTTGCTCGAAATTTTTCTATTATCTCATTTAACCTGTATTTTTAAATCTTTGAGATTTAATGTTTCTTTAACCTATACAGTGCATGTACGTAACAGATAGTAGCAATTAGTACAACGATGTCTTATCAGCATCCTTGATATAAATACATGATGAAATCAGTGTTGAAAATCTTATGTTCTCATGAGAATATGAGAACATACCTTTAGATTTGAGAACATTTGATATTCTGTAAATGTTCTCTATGAAAAAATTTGAGAACATAATACTCGAAAAATATGTTTTCTATATAAGTATAATATAAGTATAATAGCATAATGCCAGATGGAAATAAAATTAGAAATCGAGCGAAGTTCCGAAATCATCCGAAAATAAAATGAAGAGATGAGACAAAAATTTGAATAAATGACCGATAGTTTCTGAAATAAGAAATATTAAAAAATAAGAGATATAAATAAATTTCACTGTTGAGAACATAAGTCTCAAAACAGATTTCCAACACTGGGTGAAATTATATGTAGCCATAAAATTTCAACTTGAATTTTACGTAGCATGTACCAAATATATTTTTAGGACTATAGAGTCACCAACACTAAGAGAAATTTCGCTGTTATATTAAAGATAAGTTTTGTTATTAATTAGATTAGGAAGAGCTTTACTAATACTAATAATTCGCAAGAAAGCTTTTGTTAGTAGGCAGTTTCATAGGTAAATGTTGTGAACGATTTAGATTTGAATTTTTGCGAGTTCTTTTTGCGTTACAACTGATATTAAAATTTAATTGGACAGCGAAATTTTTTGTGACATTGGGCAGTATATTTCGTCTTAATTGATACTGTAAACATTAGTGATAATCAATTAAACAGTCACATATGTCGCTTCAGATTACGAATTACAGGAACTCAAAATCCCTTACGAGATTGCTAAATGATTGGATGATTAATAAAGTATAAATCAGTTATCATTATAAGCATGAGGTTTTTTTAGATTTCATCGACGGCAATCTACCTATTGTCAACGCTAACTGTAAAACAAGACAACCCAGCTCCCAAATTTATCGACAAAATGGCAGTCGGCAAAATGGTTGTCGGCAAAATTGGTTAATACCAAGCATGAGTGATTGAAGTTAATGCCAATCTATCATATCTAGATTTTAGAGATTTAGGACATTGTCAAACCAAGATACATCTGGCTACTTTTGTTAGTATCCAAATTTAAAGTGTATTAGTCGATCAGCAGTGGTTAGATTTTTATTTGATTGATATATCGATATCAGAAAACAAGACTTCGAGCTTTTATTTTCATAGTTTACCAAACTCAAATATACAATTTTTCAAGGATTAGGATCTGGTATGTTGCAAGTTTAAAGCTTTAAATCTGGGCTTCCTATAATAAGTACATTGAAGGTATAATATATAGTTATGTATAACCGAGAATAAAAATATATGATTAATAACAACTTAAAAAAAATGAACCCAATTCCAAATTTTGACATTAATTTACATGTTAAATGTCGAATGCCAAAATATTTCGTATAGCTTAAAATAATTTAACTAACAACACTATGCAACCCACTTTTTATTCATATTCTTGAAAGCAAAAAAGCTTAAAGGTGGTCATATTAATCAAAGATAATGTAAAACATAATTGATTGATAGCTTAAAAGGGTCCAAATAAATAATCTAAATTAGAAGCAATTGAAGAAGAGGAATAATTGTTAGGTAAAAAGATGCTACTAAAGTTAATGGGCGTGTTGTTATTTGGCATAGCATAAATGGCTTCAATATATTCTTGATTGAGAAAGAAATCGCTTTGGGTGGGCTGAGACGCTTCATTAACGTAAGAAAAAGCGGAATTGTCGAATTGATGTTCAGTTGAAGTCAATATGTGTTCCTGTTCGATATTTGCAGCGCCACCGAAGTTACTTTCAAAAACATAAGTTGATTTATTGACTGTTCTCGGTCCTCGTTTTTTAACCGGTTTAATATAAACACACTCAAGGTTATGTAATCCACAATTTGTGCAAGTAGCTTCTTGAGAACACTTTAAATGTTTTTTACGGCAATTCGTACATGCATTGGTCGCGTAACGGCCTCGCTTTGGTCGACTTAAACAAGACATAGTCAATAAAAGTAGACAGTAGACACGAGAAATAGATATCCACTACAATAGCTGAAGAAATCGTTAAAATGGTAACTTATTTGATCTTAAGGAAAAAATTTAGATTTGAAATCTGACGAAAGGCGAGAACATCCTCATATTTATAAAAAAAATAACCTTTAATTACTGATATATGCAATATTAGATACTGACGTTTAAATATCATAAATTACAGTATGTTTAGTCGATTAATCGATTATTATAGAATATAAATTGATTAATCGATTGAATCGATTAACAAATAATACAGAAATATTAATTTTATACTTAGCTGATCAATCGATTTAATCGATTTAATATAAAACTTAATTTTTAATTTAATATATTTAGTTGGTTGGACTTTCTACACTATACTAAAGCCAATCGATTAATCAATCGATTGATCGTCAACTATGTCAACTAAGGAAACACAAGGCGACAGCTTTGCATAGGAAAAAACTCCCTTGATTGGCTGGCGTAGATCAATTGTCCGGGTAATTTATTTATACGGTTTAAAGTACTTTTTGAGAACGTGACGTTTCACTAATAAAATTCACCGCAAACATCATTAATAAATTAAGGACACCTTCGTTCACAGTGCAAAAGAATAAAAAAAAAAAAAACCCCTCCACAAATCAAAAGGTTTTACTTAGAAGACAAAATATACCTACCGTTTATTGACCATACCAAATTATACTGTAGAATGTGGTAACCAGAAGCGTTTTTGTTTAAAACTACCCGAGTATATTGGATTTAATAAACTTTTATTATTATCTATTATTTTGAAAGAGATCCGGGTTTAATACTTGTATGTTTTGTTTTGCAGTTGTTTGGGGTTTTTAATTGTAAAGAATTTTGGGTTATAAGTATTTACCTACTTTTTAAATATGTAAAATTAAATAATTCTTATATATTCATAAATTTATAAGTTATTATATATGTTTTTTGCCTGTTGAAATAGATATAGCATTAAAATGAGAGCCTTGCATTTCACAAAATTATGCGAAATTCAGTAATTCTAATTTTTGGGGACTTAAATTTATATTTCTTCTTTGGACTTTGTAACTTATCGCACTAACGATATAACGCCAGTCCATATCACGTGATATACAATTAATATTTGAAAGCACTTCTTAAATTATAATTTTTCGCTTTGGCGGTATATCGCCACATGCTAATTAATTAATCAACAGGTTCAGCATTAAAATAATTCACATATATATATGTCATATTACTATAAAGATTCAAATTTTATTAGCTAATTAAAAAATGGCGATGTATCGCCACTGCAATACATTACAAAACCCTAGAAAGGGAAAACAATTGCAACAATTTTTTTTTTTTTGCAAATTCCAAACGAAGCCCTAATACCTATTGCTCATTTTAAACTCTTCATAGTTTAATTGTATTAATGCAGCTTTAAATTGATTTTATTATGTCTATTAAATAAAAATTGTCGTGGATTATCGTGAAATCAGATCATCGTGAAATTTGGGGGTCTTGATTTGAAAATATAAGCCCTACCAAAATCCACCTA